GCGCAGCTGCAGCAGGCACGCGGCTGCAGAGCGGTCCTGCTTTCACTGACGGCTGATGTTCTTGTGCTATGGAAATTTCAGGAGAAAATGGGCATTTTAGGCTAACTTGCAGTGCCAGAAAGACGGAAGCAAAGCCAAAGCTTCTATTTTATCAACTCTTATTTTATTCATTTATAAATACTGTTGTGTTTACAAGCATCATAGATGTGAATATTATTCCCAAACTTTCAAACACATAATACTTATAATACTATATAACAACAACCAGTAAAACAAATCATTCATCTCAGGGTTTGAAAGGCCACTCAGAAGTTGCATAAAAATACATTCTCTCCCCATCTCGTGAGCCAGTCCTGCTTCTCCAAGGAGTTTATTTACAATGAGCCGTCCTCAAACTCGCAGCCACAACAGGCGGGTTCACCCCAAGCAATAAAAATGAATTCACCCCAAGCAATTGCTTAGAAAAAAAAAAGCTCTGGCAGATGCTCTGGTTCAAACAGGGATCAGTTTTAAAAACTGCTTGCTTTGCGCTCTGTCCCACGCGCGGGGGGCAAGGTGTCCTATCCGCCACCCCTCCGTGCACTGGCTATGTCAGGCATTAAGTGAGACCAAAATAAAATAAAAAAAAACAAAATCCCAACTTCATTCTCAAGAATTTGGTTTGCAATTGCATCGCCCTCACGAAACCCTCCCAGCTTTGGCTGGTCAGCAAGACCAAAGGGGTGGTGGGTCCTCTACCCTCGGCGGCGGTCAGGGGATAATCCAGTGCTAAGCAGACACTTCAGCTGCAGTGGTTTGGCTTTGCAAGGTGCCACGCAGGGGCATCGAGCCTTCCGCACCCTCTGCGTTCCCTTCCGTAGGATAAACCGCAAGGAGTGTCCTGGTAGGAAGGGGCTGCACGTCAGTGCAGGATGGGTTTGTCAGATTGGGTGGAACCCTCTCCCTAAAACAGATACCAGGCTTCTTCCCGCTGCCGGGAACCTGCCTCGTGAGAAGAACAGGATCTTTAGTCTGAATCTCGTCCCTCGTCCCACTGGGACGCACGCCCCGAGACGCAGGTGTCGGCACAGCGGCGCTGCGCCCACCAGCAGCCCCAGCAGGTCCCTTCTCCTCCGTGTGGCGCAGAAGGGGCTGGACTCCTGTTCGGAGCTGAGCGAGCCCACGTTGGAAGCGAGGAGCGGGTCACCAAGAGAAAAAACATCAAGAACCGCAGAACTACTCACAGAACGAGTGCACCAGGTGGGAACGGCGTGCGGAAAACGCATTGATCGGATCTCAAGACTTAAAGCTGTTAAATATAGCAGGGTTAAAATAAAGCAATATAAAAAGGAGGCCCGGCTTAGGCAGTGCTCTGCAGAAACCCTGGCGCCATCGCCAGCTTTGGTCTCTGCCTCCCCAAAGCACAACAGCGGAGGAAAGGCCTCCGCGTGCCAGGAGAAACAGCAGCTCCTGCCGCGCACCAGTAACGCTGCTGCCGAGGAGCGGTGGAAGAGGAATCTCTTGTCTAGAGCTGCCCGGGGAAAAACCGGCAGCCCCCAGAAGAGCCAAAGGAACCAGGGAGGATGGGAAGGGGGGAAAAAATGGAGAACTAGGGAAAAAAAAAAAAAAAAACCCAAAGAAAAAAATCCCAAGGGAGATCAAAAGAAACACGCTTTCGGAAGCAATAGCCAGCAAAAGGTTCCAAAAAGCCCAGGACTGACTGACAGAGATAAAATTTACCCTGTTGAGCAAGCTCAAGAATTATGCTCATGTTCAAGTATCTCATCCATCTCTCTCGTAGCGAAAGAGCGCCACGAGCCCAGCAGGAGCTGCGAGCCCACAGTCAGCAGTGGTGCCCACGGCTGTAGGTAGAGTTTCCTCCAAATTCAACGACCGAGACTCCAACTCGCAGCCGGACGGAGCAGGGAAATCAAAGGGAACGAGAGGACAACTATGGAAGGATGCAGGTGGGAAAGTGGTTTGGATTCAGCAAGGAGTCTCTGAGGGGGAAGGTAGCGGTCAAGAGGAGGCTGTTAAGGGGAAGCCCAGCAGCTCCGATGATGGGTTACTGCTGCTATCATCAAAATCACACGGCACGTAGAGGAGCCACTGTCTAAATGCCCATAGAGAGAACAATTTCAAACTGTTCTGAGTACGCGTAACATTGAAGAGTGGGGGTTTTTTGAGGTTTCCTTCAAGGTCAAGGCTTATTGCAAGCTTTTGACAGATTAAAAGACTTTCATCCTGGCGACAGTTACCAGCAGCCCCAAGGGCAGCTCCTCGTCCTTCTGGCACCAGCGCACCCACCCCTTTCCAAGGGGGACAAGGGACCACGGCTTCGTGCTCCTCTGCCTTGAAACCCGGCTGCGTCGAGCTGCTTCACCAACGGGTTTTTTTTTGCCATCCCCGCCCGCTACAAACCAACCAGCGCTGCCTCGCACTCGGTCGGCCTCCCGCCACAAATCAAAGCAAGGTCCCCGAAACGCCAGAGCAGGCTCCCCTGCGGGGCTCTGCCTTCGCTAAGCAGGAAACCGTCCCCGGGGGCTGTTAGGGTGGGGAGGCTGGGGTGGGCACAGCTCCTGCAAGGCGATGCACGCTCATGTGCATGTGGATCTCTAGGGGCTCAAGCTTGTCCTTCGGAAAGCTTGGCAAGTGGCTGTGACATCTCCTAACCCCAGGAGCAAGAGTCCAGACGTAACCAAGACAGGAGGATGCGCGGTACCAACCCACCCCGGCTGCGGGGGAAAGGCAGGGTGAGCGGCAAGGGGGCTGATGCCGAGAGTCAGCGCTGATGCTACCGAACAGGCTCGAAATCTTCTATTAAATAAAAGACTCGGTCTACTGGGGTGAAAGGAGAAGAAGGTCTCTGTGCAAAGCAGCGTCGTCAGCCCGTTACAGAATCAGCCCTGGTGGCTTTCACAGCATCACGTGTTAACCAGAGGCCCACACCTCGGGTGGGTTGATGGGCATCCTCAGAGTCCCAGCCCGTGTTCACATTTCCCACCTGGAAAGGGCTTGGATGTGCTGGATTAGTTCTTTAGGCGTCACTTTTTAAAGTAGGAGCCACCTACTCCAGATCGGAGTCCAACACCGAATACTGGGTTTTTGGAAGAAGAAGTTTTGGCAGCTCAAACCCAGTCCTCGCGTTTCTCTTCTCCCTTGAATAAAATGTCTGAGACACCACAACATGCTGAAATTAAAAATAATAA